AGATGCTGACAGTAAAGAAATGCATAAATCGGGTAACATGGTGAAGAGCTTCATGACCTTTCAGCGTATGGGTATAATAGATCGTTCAGGAACTCCTCGAAATTAAATGTAATCGTGAATCTGAGTCCTCTTTGTAAAAGCCATCTGCGATAAATGAACTTGGCGACAAACATAGTGACAAATACGGTACTAGGGACCGACCACCGGCCGGTCGGTCGCGCCGGCCGCCATAAGGATTTGAACCGTCCATTTCACATTTCAGCTGGTTGTACATGACGTACTTATGAGTATCATCAAATGTGTTCTCTGGAATGAGAGATGAAAAACAATCTTGAATTCAACCGTGCCGCTTTCATGGTTTTAGATTTGACACTGTGCCTGTTTATTTTAGTTTAATTCGGCATGCTCCCCCTAGTTTTACGTGTAAATCCATGGAAAAAGCTCTCTGAGCGGGACTCTGCCACATATTTCACCACAGATGTCGAAAAGTAGTTGAGTTTTCAGGCACACTCCCTAAACACTCAAAGCTGAAACCCGGAGGAACATCTCTAAGTTCCACTGCATTCCGTTTAGAACTGTGCACGCCTTTTTACCTTTAGTGCAATGCAATGTGGCTAAGTCAATCAAACGTCGTCCAAGTGACCAACCTTAATTTCATCTATATTGGAGTTAACATGCACATGTTTCATGTATCCTTCGCGTTGCACTTTACGTCGCTTTTTATTTTAGCGCTTTGCAAGAGCAAGCCCATGAACAACTTTTGAACTTTTGAACATGAGCATGAACAGCTAAGCTTTCCTTTCCTCCACAGCCTAAAGGCAATGCGGTTTGTTGGCATGTATGTCATTTGCATACGGATGATGCGATGAGCATGCATTGCCTTCCACTTCCATCGATATTAAGATCCGATTTCATTTTAGCGTGCTGCTAATTTGACTTTAAGCTTGTATTACGTACCTACCCATTACCGAACGACGCCGTCAGTGTCCCAGCACACATTTTCCGCACAAACATACAGATAATGTCTTCCTGGTATCGTAGGAGCTTACGTACGTTGCTTTTATGCCGGCTTTTATTTCAGCGATCGCAACACCAGTCGAATGGCAAAGAGAATTTGGCGATATTAATCGACTTCGGAAACCATGTCACCTTTGATAACCCATTTCCCTCACTCCTGTTCGTTCCAGCACGGGGTGGAGCCGCTGTCCGATCGAGGCGTTATGTGCTGACTTTGCCAGTATTGCTTACATCAGCAAACTGAAGATCTGTCTTGATTTAGTTTGAAAGGGCGGTCTGGGAAGTCACATCACAGTCACATCACAAAAAGAAGACAAACGGACCGGCCTTTCCGTGCAGCTCCAGTAATTCAAACAAACGCACGCCTTCGCCTGCAGGTTACCTCCGCCCGATTTGTCAGCGAGTTATAGAGCGGCCGGTCCGGCAGCGGGCGGCCCGTCCCTTGTGCTGTCAGTGTCGCCGCGCCTAATCGATCAACGGAAATGACCTCCGACCCCGACCGGGCCCGGCCGCAGGACGTCGCGGCCGGCGGCAGGCAACGCAGCAGATTTCCCGGCGGGCCCGCCGCGCTGCCTGTTTATCGAGAGTGTCGGGAGACGGGCGAGGTCAGCCGGTCAGTGCCGAGCAGTCGCCCAGGTCGGACAGCGGCGCTGGCGGGAGTCGCCGCCCAGCGCCTGACGCCGGGACGCGACGCACAGTGGTTGGCTTTTGAGGTTAGGTGAAGACAAGAGAAGAAAGGAGCGGTCACGAAAAGGGAAAAAACGATCAGAATGGGGAAGCGGACTTGGTGGGAAAGCAATGAAGCCGAACCTCCCTGCGTTAAATCAGTCGCAAGCTGTTTCACACTCACGTTAACGTGCTCATGGGCTCCACTTTGGCCCGTCTGCCCCATTTACCCGCTCCGCATCGCGAAGTTACCGGGATGGTAATCCTCTGGCCCACAACGAACCACTGACTTACTGTGGCCCGCTGTGGCTTACAACGTTCAACCCGGCCGACACCAAAGACCATTTGAAGCGTTATTCAATAATCATTTCCTTGTTGCGTGCGGAGACGGACACCCTGCCATCTGCGACCCATCGGACGGGGCCAGAAGTCCACCTGCCTACAGAGAAAAAAAGTTTCCGCTCGTTTTCACCTGTGATGGAAACTACTTTAGGAAACCCCAAGTTTAACTTATCAGTTATTCAAATGAATAATCATAAAGAACATGATATATAGTTTGTTTAAGTAATTAATCATTGACATTCTATAGCATTTATTTATCACAACTGGCAGCTCACGTTCCTTGGGCTCGACCGTTTAGTATTACCCCGCATAGCCTCTGTCTGACCTGGTGTGACCTCTTATAGTGTGTTTGATCTTGACAGGCACTCAGTCAAGCCCGTTGATAATTTATAGCCAAACACTCCAGAACGAGAAAGGAAAACTAATTGCTACTTGCCTAATTGCTTTTAAGTAAAGGTACTGGTAATCGTGCAAATCTTTACTAATGTCATCATAAAACCTTGCCTGATCTTGTATTGGAATCTTTCACCAAACTATGTCAAGTCGATTACCTGAAAGATATCCTAGTTGCGTTGAATTACCCGGAAGGGATCCGAAGTCATGTTGCAAACTCTGAGGGTGGTACCCCCTACCCCTCTCCCCCTTCCCACCAACCGGTCGTGGACGGAACACTTGCAGAGGCGATTGCCATCAGAGACGACCATCTGCGAGGGGGCTTTTCCCAAACGTTAAAGGTGGCGCTCAGCACCATTAAAAAGGTGTTGGCATGAGCTGGTGAGATCCCGACGGGGCGAAGGAATTCCCCATCTGATCATCCCCCGGGCTGCCGCGCCGCTGCGCCTCAGGCGCAACACGGGCGTTCAGGGCGCGCCAGCGACAGCCGGCCGCCAGCGCCGAGGGAGCGCGCCGCCGCGCCCCAGCGCAGTCAGCGGCCCGATGCCTCGGCCACTGCGGCGTCAGAACAGACCTTGCCGAAGGTCTCGGACAGTGTCCGATCGCGGGGCGGACGACTGCAGCTCAGCCAGGACAGAGAATGGCTGAAGGGCTCAGCCACTGCGACGTCAGAACAGACCTTGCCGAAGGTCTCTGACAGTGTCCGATCGCGGAGCCGACGACTGCAACTCACCCAGGACGGAGAATGGCTGGAGGGACTCAGCCACTGTGACGTCAGAACAGAAAGCCTTGCCGAAGGTCTCGGACATCGCACCATCGCGGAGCAGACAACTGACGGAGATCAGCCCATCGAATAGCTTAGTGCTCCGCCGGTGGAGACCACTGATGCTGTGGAACGAGATAGCGGATCAATTTGGAAGTAGCAGGCGTTGGTTTGGCAGCGCTGAAATGCCACGGATGGGACGGCGGAGATGCTGCGGATGGAAGATGTAATGCCGACGCATTTGCAGTCAAGGTTCTAGATATTGCCTTTGAGCTGCGCACTGTACGTCCTCATCCAGTGCTGAGAGTGCCCAGCGCTCTTCAGACAAATGGCTCTCGTCTGAGGAGTTCCTTGCGACCGGCGACGGGATCATCGTCCTATCATCGATGTGTCGCGAAACTGCCGTGCTGAAGTAAATCGTCGACAATAACCCCTTTGGTTGCTGGACTGGAAATAGGTATTTATGTATCATACAACATGCTGAGCAAGGCACCTTGCGCGCTTACCCTGCTACATTCCTGAGCGCTCGTATAAACTGCTAAGCTCCTTTTTGCGGCGTAGAACTAGCGAGGTTATTACAGGTATACCTTGTTGGCAAACAGCCATCTCATACGAATAGGTTTCAGAAGCAGCCCAAAAAGTCATCATCAGCGATTGGAGCGTGCTCTGTCATTAGTTTCGCCAGCAGAGAGGTCCACCAATGTTCAGCGCTGGTGTGAATCTGCGAATGGCACGGTGAGCAAGCTGGCCGACTTTGAACCCTCCATATCAAAGCATTTTAGACACTGAAATTGGTGAAGTTGGAGTTGTTGACAGCTTTGGTGGTTATAGACGTAACATTGCGCAAGCGCATACTCTGTCACAGACTCTGTCAAACCGGTCTGTACATTTTCATGAATC